GAGTATAAACCAAAGAAACACATGTACTTGAGCAAATGTCTGCAGTAGGGGATTATCTAGCCACCCTATACAGAGAGGCAAACTGGGAATATATATATATATATATATATATATATATATATATATATATATATATATATATATATATGTATGCATGTAAAATGTATGTATATATGTTTTGTTTGACGATCGCAAATAGCGTGAAACCCAGGGTCAAAAACTCACATCAATCCAACTATATATATATATATATATATATATATATATATATATATATATATATATATATATATATATATATAGTTAAACCTAGAGAGCCAGACAAATCTACCAAGGTTTCACCTAAGCGTATTGATTATTTTCGGCTAACGTACATGTTCTTTTTTTTTCCTTTTGGCATTGATTTGTTTATTTGCAAATCAAGACACCGAAGGTTGTCCGAACGAGTATAATTTCTTATACTTATAAGATTACTACTAATACTAATAATAATATATATATATATATATATATATATATATATATATATATACAGGTTGTCCACGCCAAAATTGACATAATTTAAAATGCTAATAGCTGAGTAACTACATGCCCCAGGCAAACGAAATTAAATAGGCTCAATTTTGAAAAATAAGATTTATTTTTCAAAATTCTAACAAGATATTCAAAAGAATGTAGATTTTATAACCGATTTCACAAAGCTTCGCAAATGTTCAATATGCACACCACAAAGGTCAAGTCGGCAGTCCATCTCCTGCCAAACACGCTGTAGCATGTCTTGCGTAACATTCTCCAGTGACTTTGAATTTTTTGTGCTATGTTCAAACCTGCTTTCCAGTTGATGCATTTTTTCTGGAATTTTCTCGAAAATTCATGCTGCACGCTATTGTTTGACTGTGTTTGAGCATATTCTGACACACAAAATGCCTTTTCATTTCCGGTAAGCGTCATTCTTCATCCTGAAAAAAAGAAAGCATTAAATATTCCACCTAGTTTTTACAGATTTTGTCATGTTATTAGACTAAAATGTGATGTCAATTTTTTTTTGGCCACTATATATATATATATATATATATATATATATATATATATAATATATATATATATATTTCTTTGATTAAAAATTATGCACTCCTTTAATTCTACAAAACAGAAAAGCATAAGGATGCTGGAAAAAGAAAAAATTAATTAAATCTTCCTTATCTGCCATATTTAATGATATATGCTTGAAAGAAAGTTTGATGCCGAAATATACACAATATCGCACATTCAATGCTGGTGTTAATAAAATAGTGGTCGAGATAAAATAATAAACCTATATATATATATATATATATATATATATATATATATATATATATATATATATATATATATATATATATTAGCTGTAGTAGTTGTAGTTGCTGTATAAATAACAACAACGAAAACTGATTCAACAGGATCATTTTACATTAAAGACAGGCACATTTCCTTTACTGTTTATCTTGTTGATAGCTTATCCAACTACATGTTTTCATGGCAGTGTGGTATCATTTCTTATAATTTGCCCAATACAAGGCCCAAGGTTTACTCAAGATAGAGTGTGAATGAGCGAGATTTTTTGTAAAGTAGGGGAAAGGAGGAATATATATTATAAGGACTTGTAGGATAGATATCGATTGACCCTGGACTTAAAGATACAAAGATTGTAATTGTCAGAGAAGTATTCTCTTGGGAGTCTGTTCCACACAGCAACAGTTAAGGGAATGAATCTGAGTAGAGCTCGTTTGCTAACGTGAATATTTGATAGCGATTCCTATTTGTGACGGTCTGAGCTGGTGAAACTAAGGAATGTAACACGTTCGAACATCATAGTAATAAAGAGAGAGTAGTGAAAAGCTAGAAATGTTTTCTCAGTGTTTTAAGAGTTGCAGGTTGGAGAATAGTTCATCACCCACAAGGCCACGCAATCGTTTTTGAAATCTGTTATGGCTGGACAGTGAGGAGTGGGCAGCCTAGACATGACAGTAATACTCCACTCATGGTTTGATTTGACTCTTGTAAAAATAGAGGTTTAAAATATGAGGTAGTTGTATTTTTTCTGTTTAATAAGTCAGTAATCGCGTGCTTATGTAGTACTAAGAGTTTAGCTCAACTGTCTAGTATAAGAACTTTTCAAACAGTCTACATGACACAAAGCCAGATTTTCTAATCTAATCCTTCTTACTAATGTAGATCAGTGTGTTAACTACAGAACTACGATTAACCTGCTCTACCTGTATGGCCTGTTGATTTGGACAACGCTCCGGTATCTAATCGCCGTAATACAAATAAATTGGTAAAAACTTGTACCTCAGTTATAGAGTCCATAAATTAGCTTGAACCGAATATTCAAAGTAAAACCATTCTGTTACTTTAGGAATAATTTAAATCAAATGGCTGTGTCTTTTCTTATTTTATTTTATTTATTTTATATATGTCTGCGAATAATTCGAAACGTCTTGTGTCTGTATAAATATAGATCAAGATAGTCGATAATCAATCAATCTGTTAAGAAGAGAAAAGGACGTGGGTGATCCTAATGAGCATTGAAGTAGTGCTCGGAATTGATGATGATGATGATGATGATGATGATGATGATGATGATGATGATGATGATGATTTACGATAACGAACGCCCTGTAGAACACCTTGACTCAGTGTCTATAGACAGTGGTGGTAACAGCAGTGACAACAACGACAATCATGGAGATATAATGAGGGGTTAGATGAGCAAAGGGTGTGTATGTCAACGGCCCTTGTTGCTCAGAAATAGTAAAATTTACCCAACTTCTGCAGAGATAATATATCGGCAAGTGGTCATGCCTGGGACTTCAATGTATTCTTACTTAATAAAGTTAGCTTACTTATAGTACATGTTCGCATATATAGGTCACCCAATGTTAGAATTTAACGAGCTGATGATTCTATTTGTGTGTGTGTGTGTGTGTGTGTGTGTGTGTGTGTGTGTGTGTGTGTGTGTGTGTGTGTGTGTGTGTGTGTGTTATCAACCTTAATTTTAAAACTTGTCGACTTTTGGTTATTCTTATACTTCGTGGTTCGGTTTCGGGCCCAAATTAAATTTCATCCAGTAGTTTCTCAATACTTGAAAAATCCACAGTTCTTAATGGGTAAAACAATAACTCAATGATAAATTTAAAATTTAAGATCTTTAACAGATGAGATAAAAACTTTTCCTTAATGGTAGGAAATAATAATGATGGTCTGGTCTTGAAAACGAACTAAGAAAGCCACGCAAGTAGATTCAGAGTCAATAAAATGTAATTGATTGTGACGATGAGGAAAATACGTGTTTTTAATAGTCTTTATCTTGGTACCAATGCCGCGTAGTGAGGCGTTCGGTTACCAATACTAGAGTCCATATATTATAGTGTACTTAGGAAATAATAGTAAATACGTGCAATCTTCCGTTGGAAATTAAAGAAAAAGTCAAAAGGAGAGGAAATTTATAAAAGACGAATCTTAAACAAGAAAAGAACGAGAAAAAGCAAATTCTCCAGAAATCAACAGAAAGACAAAACAAAATCAAAGAGAAAGTTTGTTTTTTGTTTTTTAAAATGGTAATAAATAAAAGTGAATGTCATAAAGAACGCCAAAGAGAGAAAGTTAAAAGAAAGAAATAAAGAAAATTATAGAGGGAAGTACAAAAAAAAATATCCAGAAAAAGAAAGAAAGTTAAATTAAAGAGAAATAACAGAGATAAAGAAAGTGAAAGAAAATAAATCAAAAAGAGAGAAAGAAAAAAAATAATAGAGAAAGAAGTTAGGAAAAAATAAATCTTGGTACCACGATCTGAGAATAAAAGAAAATTGATAGTCGGGGGAAAACGATGAAAATGGTATTGAATCTAAGAAAAGAATATACGAGGTCTGATCAAAATTATTGGGTCTGTTGCTATGGTAACGGAACTGAAGTACACAGAGTGAAGCCGCGCGGCACTCATTGAAATCTCTCGCGCATGCACATAACGTTGTCACTCACTTCCGATGCTTATAGGAAGGAAAGTGTGTAGAATGTGATCATCTCACCAAAATCACAAAGGCTTCATGAGTGACCTTGCATCAGATTTTTGGCTAGCTCAACTTTCCCTAAATCCGACAACTATCATAATCGCCTTGCGACTTTCTCCTCCTCAAAAATCAAATCCTACCTGAAAGTAACAAAATTTCAAGACGTCGACGAAATCCAAGAGAATGTGACAAGGCAGCTGCTCGCTATCCCCACAAAAAAAGGAGTTCTAGGAATGCTTCCATCAATGAAAACGACGCTGGATAAAGTGTGTAGCTTCAGCAGGGGATTACTTCAAAGGGGATGAAATACTGAATTGATATGTATTGTGGTTTTCTTTTAATAGTACCAATCCCATTACATTTTGATCTCACCTTGTATTATCATAGATCTTTATATCAGAATTCTGTCTGTATCGGCTACTTTTTATAATTCTTCGATCTTCGCAAGAGCCATAATACGTAGCTGTCCAGGACCGTCACATTTAGTTTTTATTTGTTTTAATTATCAAACTTGGCGTATATTCAGATTTTTGATTTTAATATTTAAGGTAGAAGACGATTGGTAGTATTTTCTGTATATTAACCTTTTCTTTTATTTGAAGAAAAAGAAATGTGACTGAAATGCAAAACAGATTTGTGCGGGTTATAGATAGGGCACTATCGAACGTGACAAAATTTGTCTGCGATTTTTCCTGCTACAGATTTCTCTATAAACGATTCTCCACGTTCGAGTAAACCAATTGATGGTTGACAGCGATCAAATAAATGCACCACAACAAATATTCAGAATTGAAAATTATTTTCACCAGTTTGGTTATGTTAGTGACTTCCACTGAATTGATACGGAAACTGCTACTTATGCATAACAATTTTTTTTTTCATTTTTTTTCTTTTTGTCAAGGCAAACAGACTGGCGGACCCTCTGTACTTGGAAAATTGGTACAATAAATGTTTCTACCATATTTCCCCTTCAACAGGACTTTCTGGTTTTATTTATCTATCTATCTCATATTGACTATATCTAATATCGTGTTTGTTTTTCCCCTCTCTCAAGCTAGATCTTTCTGCCTATAAGAAAAACATTAAAGAATAAGTACATTTTTCTTTTTACCTGATACTCGTTTGATTAATTTTCGGAATTCAATGTCCCCTTATTATGCATTGCAGTTGAAGGATAAAAGGTATTATCAATGATCGGGATTTTGCGAAAATGTGACTGACAAGATAGAGCTATTTTTCGAAGAGCTCACTAAATTCACCTATGAAAAAAGTTACAAAAAGTTAGTTTCCACCGCCTTCTTCGAAGTAGTTCCTTGCATACTGGCTCCTAAAGGATACTGTTTATAAAGGATAGCGACAAACAAAAGTACATACTACATTCACTTCTCGCGCTGTTTCTATTACCTTAATTTGCAGGTACCACATCGGATGCACAACATTGTTGCTTATTTTATGTACTTAAAATATTTTGTAGGGATACAGAATGTAATTGAAGCGTAGAAATGGATATATTAAAACGAGAATAAGAAAAAAACATTAACAAAAAAGGTAACAAAAAGATAATATTACTGTAAGGAAGTACTGTCGAAACACGTTTAACAAAGAAACGGCTAAACTTTTCTCGTTAGATCTCAATGGATGACGGGAAATATGGACAACGACGAAAAAGAACACAAAAGACCAAATCTTATATAATAAATATATAATTCTACTTACAGAGAGATGGCTGGTAGGACTTAATATAAATTGATGCCAACACCTTCAAACGAAATTGAAAATTAACCCTCCTCAGTATTGAGAATAGATATCGTTTGCAAGACCGTGAACATTGCTGGATTTTTTATTTGCTTTTCAACACGTAACTTTCGCGACGTTTAAATACAATGTTTCTTCAAGGATATTCTTTCTTTTTCGTTGTTATTGTTTCCGGACTATCCAATATGTCTGGATACAGATCCTTCATCATCTTAATAATCCTACTTTTCATTCTGTCAGCTTGAGTGGATTCTTCTGAGAAACTCTTATCAGTTTTGTCCACATTTAGTCGATGATATTTAAAGTCGGATATTTAAGTTGGTTAATCTATCAATATTGTGACATCTTCATCAGCTACACTCTGTTGTTTTTGTCTTATTTTATGGGATGTTGATTTATCATTATTTATACCATTTACATGCGGACTATTGTCCTTCTTTGTCACCCTTGTTGATATTATCGGAATGAAAGGGGAAGAAAGCGAGACGATCGTCAAAATGTTAACGACTACTACACGTAATACAAAAATTCTATAATGAAAATTTATTGTAGATTGGGCAATTATCAACCCTCGTTCCCATAAAAAAAAAGAAGCGGTTTGTCGCACCACAGTTTTTCCTTTGATACCGCTATTATTTTAACAACCTGCACTCCTCGGCAATGTTTATTGTTTTAAAAAACGATGATTAGAATTTTAATAAAACCTAAACATATGATGAAATTGAATTTATACATCTTTTGTTCTTGAGAATTTACAACAAAAATATTGAACACTATTTATTAGATTATTTATTTACAAGAATAATGTTATATTTACAACATTCTAAAAATTAATACAATTGTATTAAAACAAATGCAATATTTATCATTTAACAATTTATAAAGAAATAAATATGAAAATAATGTTTATTCATAAAGTTACAAATATTTACTGAATTATTAAAATATGTGATCCAACTACAGGGAAATCATTATTATTTACCATTTTATAAAATTCAAATCGATTGGTTATTACTAACCATTACAATAAACAATATGGTAAATAAACAGTTTAAATAAACAATCTAATAAACAAATAGTGTTTATTTTTGTTGTCAATTCTCAAGAACAAAGAAAGTATATAAATTAGCTTTCATCATATGTTTAGGTTTTATGAAAATTCTAATCTTTTTTAAAACAATAAACATTGTCGAGGAGTGAAAGTTGCTAAAATAATATCGGTGTCAAGAGAAAATCCGTTCTTTTGGCACCACCGTTTTTTTAGCTGACACGAAGGTTAAATATTGCCACATAATGTTCATTTCAAGTTACTGCACACTGTTAAGACTTCGTGTCTTCTCTTAGCTTGAATAATTGCTTCAATGCGCCTGGGAAGCGGTGGATACAAATCCTTCGTCAGCTCCATAAGTGTAAGATATCATTCTCTATAGCCGAGTGGATTCTTCTGACAAAGTCAGTCTGTTCTCGCTGTCCGGTGATATTTTCGTTAGGGCTATAAGATGGCCAAGCGTTCAATACTGCGACATTTCATCAACTAGACTCTGTTGTGTTGCAAACGATTTATGACATGCAGCTTCGTTATGCTGAAAAATCTGTCCTTCATCCAAGTCTGGAATCAAACGGTACCAGAGAATCTTGATGTATTTTGGCACTATCAAACCAACTTTCTTGAAGCATTATTTTTTATTTATCCGTAAAGCATGAAATTCTTACCCTGAAACTTCACTGCTTCCGTAGTCTAATTTGGGTGCTTTATATCTGTTTGTGTTTGTCATTCCGTTCAGTAGCGTCATAATTAATTAACAGGTTTCTCTATCGCGCACACTCCACCAATCATCTTCATCTCGCTATTAATTTATGCATGATGCATGACTAAGTTAATTCTTTCTTTTTACTTTCTTTCTCTAGGCGCTCTCTCTCTCCTTCTCTCTCTCTCTCTCTCTCTCTCTATCTATCTATCTATCTCTATCTCTATCTCTCTCTCTCTGTTCTTTCGTTCCCTGGTATGTCCCTATTTCCATCAAAGCAAGTCTGTAATGCATGCCAGTATACGAGTTACACAAAAAGATAAAGTTCTTGTTTGAGAAGAAGAGGAAAGTAAAGAACCTTGATGAGAGTAAGAGTGGTTATTCTAAAACTTATTGACGAAGATAGAGGGCCATGCGAAAAGACTGAATAGAATGAGTATGTTAAGAATCAGTTCAGCGCTCGAGAAATGTGAAATAAACGTGTCAAAAATTAAAGGGAGATAATCAAGGAAATGCAAGAATGGAAAAACATTTTCAATCAGTATTTCCACTCCTACTACAGCTTCTTATGTAAGTCGTAATTCAGCCGATTAAGTGTTAAGGTAGAGTGTTCTCATTGCTAATTTATTTTTTTTTATATTCTATTTATATATTTTCTGCTCTCTATATATTTTATCTATGTGTTTACACATACACACACTCACAAACACACATATATATATATATATACATATAGTTTTACGGTATGCTATATTGATGGGTTAAAGTGCTCAATATCAGGAATAAAGTGTATGTAAATATAAAATTGGACATTCAGGTTAACACCCAGAAGTAACAGTCTGTTTCAAGCTTAAAAACGATCTTCAAGTTATGAAGATTGCGTTTAAGCATTAAAGAGACTGCTGCCGCTGGGTGTTGACATATATATATATATATATATATATATATATATATATATATATATATATATATATATATATATACGTGTGTATGTCTGTGTGTGTGTGTGTATGTGTTTGTGTGTGTGTGTGTTTTTGTGTGTGTGCCTGTGTGTGTCTGTGTGAATGTGATAAATGGGGCGCTGATAATTTCTCAGCCCGTTAAACATTCAAAAATCTGACTAAACTTCAAAGTTTATTTTGTAATTTCTTCTTGGTCAACGAATATATATATATATATATATATATGTGTGTGTGTGTGTGTGTGTGTGTGTGTGTGTGTGTTTGTGTGTGTGTGTGTATTTGTGTGCGTGTGCCTGTGTGTGTCTGTGTGAATGTGTGTGTGTGTAATGGGGCGCTGATAATTTCTCAGCCCGTTAAACATTCAAAAATCTGACTAAACTTCAAAGTTTATTTTGTAATTTCTTCTTGGTCAACGAATATATATATATATGTGTGTGTGTGTGTGTGTGTGTGTCTGTCTGTCTGTGTGTGTCTGTGTGAGTGTGTGTATGTGTGTGTGTGTGTGTGTAACGGGGAGCTGAAAATTTTTCAGTCAGTCAAACATTCAAAATCTGACTAAACTTCAAAGTTTATTTTGGAATTTCTTCTTGGCCAACGAGAACTTTACAGCTCACACTCGTATATATATATATATTTATATATATATATATATATATATATATATATATATATATGTGTGTGTGTGTGTGTGTGTATTTGTTTGTTTGTTTATCTCTCACTAGTTTTCTCTTAGCCTAAATGAAATGAGACAAGTTTGCAAGGAAGGATTCAATTACCCATAACCAAAATAAAAGTTTTCTTTTTTCCCGCCCTCTGCCAATTTATTTAATTATTGACTCTGTAGGTAAGTAATACTGTTTACCTTTTCTTTTCTTTTTTTCTTTACCACACCCCACCGTGTGTGGGTAGTCTGGCTGTTCAGTTCTATGAGCTAAGTTGCCGGACCCTCACTTTACGCTTTTGTTTTCCTTCCCCGCCAATTTTAAGCTTCTTGCTTGATTTATTTCTTACATCTTTGAATTCTTTTCTACCGCTTCACGTTTCCCAGTTGTCACTTTCGTTATAGGAAAAGATTTCTTTAAGAACAGTCAAAATGGCGACTGCTTGTTGATAGCGAAACTTGCCTTGCGGTTCACATCAATTCCAATAAAGGTTCCTTGATGTTAAAACCATAGATATTTGACTCAATTGGATCAGACCAAACGAGAAAACAAATAAATCCTATAAGCGAACTTTAAACAATAAGATAAAGGACTGAAATGAAAGAAACAGAATAGAAAGGGAGAATGTTGAAGTTTTTTTTAACTAAAACACGACAAAAGCGCGCTCTTCAAGGATAGATGAGATGCAACTGGACGTCATATATAAAGTAACTATGCTTAAAACATAAAAATGGAGCAGCTTATTTATTTGCACGTTTGTTCTTACGTGGAATACTGTGATGAGTATGGAGATAGCTATGAGCTTCTACATAACCCTGAAATATAATGGATTATTTCTGTATGATTTAATACAAATGGCACCTGGTATGGTATTGTTTTAAGTGGAGTAGGCTTTCTATGTTGTAATAACAATATCAATTGAAGTATGTATTGTATTTTGGAGTTCAGTTTAATCTTATATGATCCACGGTCATCTAACAATGGTGTATTCGGAACTAATATTTATGTATGCAGTCAATGCGATGATGACACTACATTTTCCTAGACTGAAGTCAATGGCTAAAGTTGAGGATTCCCTCAGATTGAACCAACGTAACCGTCAGATGAAACCAACGTATCCTTCAGGTTTTGACTGGAGAGGGATGGGCCCGCCGGGTCTATTTGCTCGTCACGTTACGCATGAATGAATAATTTTCCGACCTTCGACCCATATATGTAATAAACTTAAGAGATACTCAGTTACGCAGTGACCCTACAACCACACAGACTGATGATGATGATGATGATGATGACGATGATGATGATTATTATTATTAGGCATGTCTACTTCAGCAAAGTAGTTAGATTTTGTGTTCTCGAAGATCATGTTGATATATGTATTATTTGTTACTGAACTTCACATAAACACACACACACACACACACACACACATATATATATATATATATATATATATATATATATATATAAATATATATATATATATATAATAGTTGGCCACTCGTATTCGGGGATACCCGTCTACTAGGGCGGCTAGCCAAGCAGAGCCCACCTGTGGCGTTATACTGCAACTATGGAGAGCAGGCCTTAGTTAGAGTTTCTGGGAGAGAGCGAGTTATCTAGCGTGATCAACAATTTGAACAAGGCCAACTCGGCCACGATGACTTGTGGCTTCGTGCTAGCACAGCTATCGATGAGCCCCAAATGTTCCGTCTACCCAATTTCACTCACAAGACTTGGGTCAAACACTTTCCAAAAGTACCTCACGCTTGGATCGACCCCGATCCAGTCCGATAACAAATCGACCATGGTGAGATTCGAACACGAGTCTCATGGTCAGAAAGTGAACGTTCTAACTATTCGGCCACGCGCCTATTATTTATATATATCTATCTATCTATCTATCTATCTATCTATATATATATATATATATATATATATATATATATATATATGTGTGTGTGTGTGTGTGTGTGTGTGTGTGTGTGTGTGTGTGTTTATATAGACTTATATATATATATACGTATATATATATATATATATATATGTGTGTGTATGTGTGTTTATATATATATATATATATATATATATATATATATATATATATATATAAGTCTATATAAACTTATGTTTGCAAATCTTTCGGATCTAGACACATACAGACGATCAACATCGACCTTAGGATGACGCATGAGGTAACAAATGAGAAGCTTTCTCGTTTTGACATGCATTCACTTAATGTCAGCTATTTTCCAGTTAAGAATGTTGGAACTGTATTGCACCACAGGGACAGCCAAAGTGTTTATGTCTAATATTCTGTTTTGTGAATTCAACTCGGTATTTAATACGAGATGCACACGCCTGAAGTTTTCTTTTCTTACTTTCCTCATCATTTGGCTATGCTGCATTTCACTTCCTTCGGTAACTCCTAAGTATTTATAGGCTTCTTCTTGTTCCAGTCCTTTAAGCTTTGTAATAAAATCCAGATCTATTGAGTGTATTTCAGCAATTTTCCTTTCTTCAGTGTTACTTTTTTGGATTTATCTAAAGTCTACATTATTGAAATATTTTACAGTGATGAGGAGACCTTTCAACTCAGTCGTATTTTGGAAAAAGGTTTGAGATCATCCACGTAGAATAAGTCATTAAATATTTAAATACTTTGTTGTTTCTTTTATATCCATAGTTATTACTGTTTAATTAATGCGAAAGCGAGGGGCTAAAGACAGAGAAAAGAGAAGGGGTCTGTTAGAAAAATTCCTCGTCGGATATTCAAAAAGTTGGAAGTGGCAGTGCCTTTAGTATAAGTTGGGTTTAATGTGGTTTTCCACAGTTCCATACTATATTTAAGGAAATTTACTATCAGTGAGGAGATTTTGTACATTTCCAAAGCCTTAATGATCCAAGTGTTTGGCACACTTTCAAAGGCTTTATGATAATCTATCTAAGATGTTCCACCAAAATAGCTAAGTTATTATTATTATTATTATTATTATTATTATTTTATTATTATTATTATTATTATTATTATTATTATTATTATTCACCCAATACAAGACTCCAGAGCCACTCAAGGTAGAGGATTCATGAATGAGGTTGTTTTATGGATAGAGATAAGAAGTGCAGAGTATTAATTGTAGGGTAGATAACGGTTGATACTAAACTTGAAGCGGTCAAAATTGCTGAGATTGCGGAAGCATCCTCTTAGATGTCTGTTCCACAAAGCAGCCTCTCTTTGAAAGAGGCTATCCGAACGGAATTTCTTTCTTGCCAATCGAATACGAAGGGAATGAGGAGGATTAGAACCTGTTTATGTGGCATGGTGGGTCTTAGCAGTGAAGGTCTGAACTGGTGGAACTAAGAAATGTAGCTCCTCAGAACATACTGCAAATTAGTGTTATCTCGAAATGCAGAATCTGTTAGGAATATCCAAAAACAATTGACCATTTTGTGTCAGATTGCACGGCATTGGCACCAACCGATTATAAAAGTCGGCATGGCAGTGTGGGCCAATATCTGCACTTTTACGGGAAGGAAACTGCAAGAAATTGGTTCAAACACCACTCAGACCCGGTTACAAACATTAGACACGTAAACATTTTATGGGACTTTACAATACACACAGACAAAA